AATAAATGAATAAATAAATAAATAAATAAATAAATAAATAAAGGACTTGTTTATACAGCTTTATTGATTGATTGTCCTTTTGATTGGCAGATTGATTATCCTTTGGATTGGCAAAGCTCAGTTTTGCTCAGGAAACCTAAAAGACATCTAGACATTAAATAGGCTACCATTGCATCACATAATTAACTGTTTTAAACCTGTTTTACTTGGAACTTTACTGATTACAGGGATCAGTGTATGGTTAAACTAAAATGGGTTCCAGATGGGCTAGGTACGGCCAGAGGAGGGATCACAGTACCACCCTGTTTCTCCATTATATTCTGTGCTGCTTGCTGCCAGGTAAGCCTGCACAGGAATGAAATCTTCACAGATATATAAGAAGGCATATTTAAACTATTCATCAGAATCGTCACACCTTTCTTTCGGTCCTGAAGAGCTTCCAGTATCTTGACTGCACACTGTTCACCTATGGCATTGCCATTAATATCAGCTTCCACAAGATGGTGAGAATTCTTGATCAGACTATGAAAAATCATTAGTACTTATAATTACTGCATATAAGATCTTTCTATTATTAAAATGTGTTTTAATACAATTAAATGTTTTTAATTGTTAGGCATGAGAGATTCCAAACAGCTATACAACAGGTTGCATGTATGTAAACATACCCTCCCTCCCTTTTTAGTACTGTATTTTAAATAGATATTAAGTCAATGCAAGTAAAAGAATGAAATGGTAAAATTAATTGCACTTCATCAGGTGGCAGGTGCAAGATTCTGGTTCTTAATCTTCTTCTATAGTAAGAAACAGGCACCCAGAAAATGGAAAAAAATAACAGCAGGGAGAAATTTCAGGAAAAATCCAAAGAAACAAAACAAAAAAAAGGAGGCAAAATCATGTGGCAATTTAAAGACTAACTGTTATATTTTAATGTCAGCTGTCATGGACACATCCACTTTGTCAGACATTTTTGTCTGGTGTACTAGTCCTTTTTGGAGTTTTTTAAAAAAATGTTACCATAGGAAGGATTCAAGGATGTATGAATCCCTAAGTACATTTCATTGGTTCGAGATCTAATTTTTGTGGAATATTTCAGCTGTTCCACAAAATGCAGAACTTATAATTAAGGAAGATTTTAAAATGTGGGCTTTGGAAAGATGATTCCTAAATAGTTTACTACAGTAATAAATAACCCTCTGAATAAATCTGTGTAGTTCTGGCTGATACATTTAACTACCGTATTTTTCCATTTATAAGACCATCACCCCATTTTTCTCCCCTTCATGGATTGGTGCCTTGTCGTGGCAAAGGGGCTTGAATAATTCAGAGAAGCTGTGGGCTATGCCGTGCAGGGACACCCAAGATGGACAGGTCATAGTGGAGAGTTCTGACTAAACACAATCCACCTGGAGCAGGAACTGGCAAACCACTCCAGTATATTTGCGAAGGCTTTCACGGCCGGGATCTAATGGTTGTTGTGGGTTTTTTGGGCTCTTTGGCCATATTCTGAAGGTTGTTCTTCCTAACGTTTTGCCAGTCTCTGTGGCCAGCATATTCAGAGGGCCGAGTGCTGTATCTGAAGATGCCGGCCACAGAGACTGGTGAAACGTTAGGAAGAACAACCTTCAGAAGACGGCCAAAGAGCCTGAAAAACCCACAACAACCACTCCAGTATCTTTGCCAGGAAAACTCCATGGGCAGAAACAAAAGGCTAAACGATATGATGCTGGAAGATGAGCCCCTCACGTCGGAAGGTGTCCAAACATGCTACTGAGGAAGAGGGGAGGACAAGGACAAGTGGCTCCGGAACTAATGAAGGACGTTCAGCTGCGGACGTGCCTGGAAGTGAAAGGAAAGTCCGATGCTGCAAATAAAAATACTGCATAGGGACCTGGAATGTAAGATCTATGAACCTTGGTAAGCTGGATGTGGTCAAACAAGAGATGGCAAGAATAAACATTGACATCCTGGGCATCAGTGAACTAAAATGGATGGAAAAGGGCAAATTCAATTCAGATAATTATCATATCTACTATTGTTGGTAAGAATCCTGTAGAAGAGCCTTCCTAGCAATTACTGTTCAAGATGGTGACCTGGTAGTAGGATGTATCTGTTGCTCTCCTCTGCCAGTTTGGCTTTTTCTCTTTTCACTTCTCATTCTTTCTAATTTTTTACCTTTATTCTTTTGGATTCGCTTTAACATTATTGTACTTCAGTTCTAGTTATACTGGATTTTAAGTTAGTTTTTGGTTTGAACCCCTCTTGTGTTTCTCTTTTTCGTTTTTTCTTCTTTCTTTTGTGTTTTGTGTTCTGCTTTCGGGTTTTTCACTCCCTCCCTGACCCCTCCCACTTGCCTGGGCTTTGCCTGCTGAAGATAGAAGTCCTTGAACAGACTCAACGTCTTTGCAGCCTGCCTGCTTTGGTCTCGAGGAATGGTGGATGGTCTCCCTGCTCCTGAGTATAGGCATTTTCCCACGGTAGTGAGATACAGCTTGCGCCGCGGAAGTTTGGTTTGTAGCTTGGGAATGTGATAACTCTGGTGGTGATTCGAACATTGACCACCGTGGAACTTCCTGGTGATGCGCTGTAACTGAGGGGAGCTGTGGTTGCTAAGGACACCGAGACAATGCTGCTGGTGGCTAGCCCCGTTGTGAGGGTATTGTGCTTGCCCGGGGTGACTTTTTTCCTCTTGCAGCCATCATCCCCTGGGGGTGTGATTGTCGGCGTTCTCTCACAGACGACCCTGGTTTCAGCTGCTGTTACTCCTGCTTCTGTTCCCTGGCTCTCCTGGCCGATATTCAAATGAACCTGGTCCATCGCCATTAAGAACCTCTTAATGAGGGTGAAAGAGGAGAGCACCAAAAATGGTCTGAAGCTCGACGTAAAAAAGAACTAAGATCATGGCCGCTGGTCCCATCACCTCCTGGCAAATAGAAGGGGAAGAGAGGCAGGCAGTGACAGATTTTACCTTTTTGGGCTCCATGATCACTGCAGATGGTGACAGCAGCCACAACATTAAAAGTTGCCTGCTTCTTAGGAGGAAAGCGATGACAAACCTAGACAACATCTTAAAAAGCAGGGACATCACCTTGCCAGCAAAGGTCTGCATAGTCAAAGCTATGGTTTTTCCAGTAGCGATGCATGGAAGTGAGAGCTGGACCATAAAGAAGGCTGACCGCCGAAGAATTGATGCTTTTGAATTGTGGTGCTGGAGGAAACTCTTGAGAGTCCCCCGGACTGCAAGGAGCACAAACCTATCCATTTAGAAGGAAATCAACCCTGAGTACTCACTGCAAGGACAGATCCAATACTTTGGCCCTCTCATGAGAAGAGAAAACTCACTGGAAAATACCCTGATGTTAGGAAAGTGTGAAGGCAAGAGGAGAAGGGGACGGCAGAAGATGAGATGGTTGGACAGTGTCATTGAAGCGACCAACATGAATTTGACCCAACTCTGGGAGGCAGTGGAAGACAGGAGGGCCTGGTGTACTCTGGTCTATGGGGTCACAGAGAGTAGGCCATGACTTAACAACTAAACAACAACAACGTACAGTTTTCTAATCCAAAGATTAAGAAAGCTTAGGTTTGACGATTCAGCGTCTGGGCTCAGAATCCTGAGATGTTAAAGTCCCTGTTGAATCTGAGCCTACAGGCTCCACATCCAATGAAGTGTGTTCCAATTGGTTTGGTCAGCATCTGCTGATGCCGGTTCCATAAGGGTCATGATTAGAGGAAGCTAAGTCTCCTGACTGTAGGAAGGTAGGCCTCCTGATTGGAGGCAGCTAGACCTCATGATTGAAGGAAGCCCGCTTACAGAGGCAAAGTACGGGCCATTTTGTTCTCTCTGTGTTCTCGGTTTACTTCTGTTTATAGTGTAATGATCAATTTTTAGTGTAATGATTTCAGGAAAGTAGTGTCATGTACCCGGAAAAATACGATAATTATGTGTCTCGTTCTGGAACCCTACTTACTCTATACTGTATAGGTTTTTAAAATTTAAAGTCATATATGCCCATTCAGATATTGCACTGCAGCTCCCAGAATTCCTAGCCAGAATAGATAGTGGTCACAATGGAGCTGCAGTCCAACCGCATCTGGAGGGTCATGTGTTCTACACACCAATGCAAAGAATAGCAAGAATGGGGGCATGAATTGGTCTGGATTGACCAATACTGAAGTTCCTTTCAGCAAACAGTCCCAACAGACTTATCTCAAAAATTTATCTCTGTGTCAGAATGAGAACTCTCTTGGCAAAGCCGTATTTGAGAAGCTGCTGAATATGGGTGGGGGATAATTATTCTTGTTCCTAATTTGAATAGTGGAGCATTCCACTGTGTCACAGATGACAAAAGTAGTACTGTAGTACCTTTAAGTTGTCTTACCAGGTCAAAAGCAGAATGAACTTCCACAGGTTCTTCTCTCCTTGGTTAAACTTTCCATCTATAGCATTATCAGACAAATGCAGTTTTGCTAACCATGGGCCTGGGTCAGGTTTCTTACTTCTTTTTTTAAAGCCTGCAAGTGGTATTGGCACATAAGGATTATTTCTGACACCATTAAAATAGGCAGTTTAGATGGCCAGATGTTTGATGGCCAATGCAACAGGTGATCTTCCTGTTGCACTGAGAAATGCCACAGTGTTATATGAAAGGCATTAAAACTTGCCTTCATATAGGGGAATTCTTTCTGTGAATTGGTCTACTTCCTTTATCACATATTCTTCAGTGGATGCCGTCCAGATGCTGGAGCATTGCCTGGTGGCAGTACTGGAATGGACCAGGGCTAACAGGCTCAAATTGAACCCGGACAAAACAGAGAATTTGCTCCTGGGGGTGTGTGTCCCTAGGCTGGATGGTACTCCCCTCCAGTTTAGGGACCAAGTGCGTAATTTGGATGTTCTTCTGGATATGGCTCTTTCTTGGGAGTCCCAGATTGCAGCCGTGTCCTGACCAGCTTTTACCCAGCTTAGGTCCTACCTAAACGAGGACTCCCTCAGGATTTTGGTGCAGGCCCTGGTCATCTCCCAGACTGACTACTGCAGTGCCCTCTATTGAACCTGATATGGAGACTTCAGTAGGTCTAGAATGCGGCAGCCAGACTGGTGGTTGGTGCAAGTAAATTTGACTACATCACTCCAGTTCTGGTCACCTCCACTGGTTGCCTTTAACATCCCAGCTCAAGTTCAAGCTTCTGACACTCACATACAAAGCCCTCCATGGTTTGGGTCCATGTTACTCATCCCAGTTGAGGCTCCTCTGGGTGGCCATCTTGAAGAAGGCCCATAAATCCTCTACAAGAGGTAGGGCCTTCTTTGTGGTGGCTCCACCTTTATGGAACCAGTTTCTTGAAGAGCTCCGCCTAGCCTCCTCCCTGTGGACTTTTAGGAAACAATTAAAGATATTGCTTTTCAAGAGGGCTTTCCACACCGATCCCAGCTGACTGCCTTCCCCCCCTTTTTTTCTTTCCCCTCCTCTTATTTCCTCCCCTCTTTTTCTCCATCCACTCTGGGATTAGTCGGTGCCATCTGTTTTTTTTAAAAAAGGGTTATTGCTATTGGTTTTAAAACTTCTATTTTATTTTTTATATTTTATGAGTTGTGACCCGCCCAGAGTAGTGCTGTGACACTAACGGGAGCGAGATACAAATTGAATAAATAACTAAATTAATATTTCTGTCTAGTTCTCCTACAACTGAGTCCAACACAATATGTGTTTAATCAGCACTTAATTGGTGGAACTCTTCATCTAGCAAACAATCGTTGTATGTATACCTTCTACACAGCTATTTTAATTTGTGTGAATGGTGTGTTTGAGTCAGGGCTGTACCACTTCAGACTCTAGTGACAGGGTGGACTAAGGTTAAGATGTGTGATCTGCCCAAGATTATCTAGTCACCAAAGCAACTGGAGCTCATGTGATTTAGTACAGTCACATACAGAACTGTCTCCACAGAACTAGCTTATCGGGGAAAAGCTTTGAAACTTTGACCGATATGAGCCTCTCCCCTTCTTCAGTCCAAAGTAATACAGCCCAAACGTATATTCTTGTAGAGCTCTCCACACACTGTTGGTAATAATACAGCATTCAGGAAAACAATGGCAGACATGGTGTTTGTATATCAGCTATATATGACCCTAACTAATCCTGCCTTTGGATAGTTTAACTGTACCTTTTCTTTTCTTTTTCTTTCCATTGCTTTCCATTTCAGTAGAACTATTTCTTTTGGAATTGGTTATCAAACTGACAGCTTTTGAATGAATAGTCGTGGCTTTGTTTACTGTTGAAAATGAAAATGAAAGATTGCATAAATATTATATATATTTGCTCCTAGATGACTCCTGCACCAGAGAGCCTGGGCTGCATGATTTCCACCATTCAATAATCTCATACTTTCAATTTAATCTGATCATTTAATTCATTAATTTAAATTAGTGAATAAGCAAAGGCAATCTTACCATCTAGATTCTCGTGAGCAGTATCGTTGCTGTATGCCAAAGCATTTGCCTTCTTTTCTTGTCCAAGCTTTTCTGCATACTCTGCTATTGGTTTGAGGAGTTCAATGGCACCCAGACATTGCAAGTGGTTACCATTAAGGAACAGGTTACTGTGACAGACAGTTTTTAAAATATTTCACAGAGACTGGTTAAACAAAAGCTAAACTGATACCATGTTTCCCCGAAAATAAGGCAGGGTCTTATATTAATTTTTGTCCAAAAAACTCATTACTGTAGGTCTTATTTTCAGAGGATGTTTTATTCTAGTCATTTTATTATCTTCTGGTTGCTGCACAATGGTGGAGGGCGGGGTTTCACTTAACTGGGGTTTATTTTTGGAGTAGGGCTTATGTTACGAGCATCCTGAAAAATCATACTAGGGCTTATTTTCAGGTTAGGTCTTATTTTCAGGGAAACAGAGTATGTCAAGATATTTTGCTGTATTCAGAACATACAAACAATGCTGAATTAATGCTACACAAGCATTTTTATGAGCTTGCAGACCTTAGGCCAAAAGCTGGGTTGCATATGCAGAGTTCCAGATAGGTGGTCATCAATACCACAAAAAATCTATCTAAAGAAGGACACTTGTCCTGTGCTTTGGCTCCCCTATAGGGAGAAAGGCAGTATTAACATAATTTAAATAAATAAATATTCCCTACCCCTTCAATTCAACTTTTAGGACTGGATTTTTTTTAAAAAAAGTGTGCACAATATTTATTTCATGGGCTGCACTATTTCCATAGCCATTCAAATATTTTTTAATTTATTGTTTTCATTTATAATTATACCTATCTAACATACATATGTAAATTGTAATGCACATACTTAACACTGTTTTTAAAGTAATGCAGTGCATATTTGCTGTTCTACTATATCAGCTGGCTTTGATTTGTTTCCAGCAATGACAAGGAAGTGGAGATTGACTGACTGATTGATTGATTGATTTGACTGACTGACTGACTGACTGACTGACTGACTGACTGACTGACTGACTGACTGACTGACTGACTGACTGACTGACTGACTGACTGACTGACTGACTGACTGACTGACTGACTGACTGACTGACTGACTGACTGACTGACTGACTGATTGATTTAACTGCCCATGTGGCCAAATGCCATACAGTGATTTAAAACAGAGTGGACCCTTGGTCCAGATAGGCAGGATAAAAATCAAATAAATAAATAAATAAATAATAAACATGGTGTGTGTGTGGAACAATAAGTCAACATAAGATATAATTAACTACATGACTAAAATGTCAAAATAAAAGTACCATATTGTTAAAAACATTATAAATAAACATTTTAAGTGGTGGCAGTCAGTTACATTACTGCCCAGTAGTTTCTCTGGGTTCCATTGATAATCAGTTTGAAAGGCGAGCCAGAAGGGGGCAGGTGGATAGCAGGCCATGGTTGGTTCCAAAGCCAAGGAGTGATTGCCAAGAAGGTCTGGTTCCTTGTTTTGTCCCGCTTGGCCTCTCGGGGTCAGCATCCTCAGCTGTCCTGTCTGGGATGAGTGGGTACGATGGGTAGATCTAGTTGGGAGTAGGCATTCTGCCAGGTATTGAGGTCCCAAACTGTTTAGGGCTTTGTAGGTTAAAACCATTGCCTTGAAGCTGGCATGGAAATGGACTGGTAACCAGTGTAAGGCAGCAAGGATTGGGAATATATGTTGGTATTTATTAGCTCCACTGACTAACCGAGCCACCATATTCTGGACTTGCTGGAGTTTCCGTGTAAGTCTCATGAGTAGTCCCATGTAGAGAGCATTACAGTAGTCTATTCTTAAGACTACTAGTGTATGGACCAACATGGGGAGGGACCCGGTGTCAAGGTATGGGCACAACTGTGTGATTCGCTTGAGATGGAAATAGGCAGCCCAGACTTCTTATTCCCTCCACATGGCCACACCAGACGTGGTAAGAGTGATGTACTTGCTGCTGCTAATTCATACAATGGTTCAGTACTACCATCTGTGTATTGGTCACTTGATGTTGTGTATCAATATAGCATTATTATCACTACCTAAAATGGCAACAGCAAAACTTACCAAATGGCAGTTTGTGTTACAAGTCTGGCTAGTGTTGTCCCACTTTCAGGTCCTAAATCACAGTAGCAAAAACTCAGAGTTAAAAGCTTCCTGTTGCCCTCTAATCCAGAAGTAAGCCTATTGATACCATCATCTCCACATCTGTAAAAAGTTAATACATTAGGCAGGATTAAAATACAGTAAGGATGTACAGTATATTGTGATTCAAAACCATACAATTATCCAGATAGTACTGCGGAATCTTAAATTGAGCTGAGCCAATTTATGCCACCCTGGAAAGAATTAAAATTAGATAATTAGCTAATCAAGTTTAACAATGATGCTTAATCTGCTACTATAAATATGTAGTAATGCTGTCACCACCATTACTTTATATTTATATATAGGCAGGTGGAAGATGGGTGACCTCTGAAAGACAAAGACCTGGACTGACATGAAATGTATGTATTTTTTTCCATATCTAACTTATATGCAGCCACAACACAGGATTAGAACAGGAGGCTGCTAAGCTCATTTGTCTATCTCTAAAAAAAATTAGACTAAATGCCATTTTGGTCCCAACTAGTAGTGTCAAAAGAAAAAGAAAAGCTTTGATGAGTGACTTATAAAACTCTCAACACTGTTAATAATAGACTAAAAGCAAAAGTAGGAAGTGACAGAAGCAGAGTCAGAATCCTAAAATCAATAGTAAAGATCATGCTGAGACAGAGAGGCCCACCCTACTAATTACTCAGCTGCACTATACAGGCTTTCCTGGTTTGAGTAAGCTCCAGGAGTAAGCTCCATCCAAAAGTGATGGAGAAAATCTTCCTGCCCAGGACCATCCTGATTCAGTCACTTTGACTAAACAGTGCTCCAGGGAGTTATCAAAAAATCCACAAGGTTAAACAGTTTGGTTCTCATGTCAACCCTGCAAGATAGGAATATGCAAAGTATTTGGTATACCAAATATATACCAGCTGTGACTCAATACTGGCTGTTACTCATTATATTTAGAAGTATTTTTAATTACTAACTGTATTATTTCCTACACAAAAATAACTAATTATATGAACATATATTCATTATTACTAGTGACTTCCAAACCCTTATGTATGCATACATTCTTGAGGAAAAACGTGGAAAGAAAACAGATACAAGTTCTTGCTGGGATGGATGTGGTCCCTTTATATCCTCTAATCCTCAGCCAATTGTGATCAGAGGTGAAATTCTGAGTCAGGAAGAAGGTAGGCCTCCAAAAAATATTAGGCACCCAATGCATTTTATCAAATTGTAGCCCCTCATAGGAGATGAGTCATAAATTCCCAGACCAAGAAGTAAGCCAAAGAAACATATCCAAAATATGTTTTTAGAGTCTGCTCAGTTCTCTTTTTTTGTGAGTATGTATTATGTATGCCAGGGGTGGGCAATTAATTTCTATAGGGGGAGGCCACATGAAAAATCTGAACTGCGTTCGGGGGCCAAACCAACTTTACTTAAAAATAAAATGAAACAGTGATGATTGTTTTTATTTTAAACTTGTTAATCTTCACAAATACTAAAGAGGTTTTTTGCAGTATGTTAAAGATAAGCAATTGATCAACTTTAGACAAAAAGCTATAAATGGTTTTGATGTTCAAAACTGTCCACAGGCCGGACAGGTATGTGGCCCACAGGCCGCAGTTTGCCCAGGTCTGATGTATGCAATGATATTTGGATTAAAACACAATGTTTTCACATACAGGGTTTTTCTTAAATGTCTAATTTTATCTGTTAACACAGGTTAACGATTAAGTGCCAGCAATTTATTGTGAGGGGAAGAAAGCTCTCTGCAGCTGTTAGAACTTTGGTTGGAACTAGCATGCTCTTTTTCTCTTTTTGGCTGGTGGAGGCAGGATACCTTTATGTTGCACTCTTACAGTAGCACTTGAACCTTTGGGCCACAGCTATAGACGTTTATATACATGTAAAATTACTTCCTTTGGTCCTATTGTCAAGGGATTCAGGCAAGATTGTAAAGTGTTATGACTGATACAATGCTTCCCTTCACACATCTTTTGGTGGGTATAATACATAATGATATTCTTAAATGTGACTTTCAAGCATTGTATTTCTTGCACTGGATTCTAAAATTTTAGCTGGTTGCATTCCTATGTGAACTTGGATGTAGCATGGAAACAAAGTGGTAAGGAAGCAATGGAAAATATTTTTATGATCATGCTCCTAGAATATTTTTCCATTACAGCTCACATTTCTTTAATCCTACTTATTGAAGGATCAAAAAATATGTTCATTCTTACTTTGAATAATCCAATACAAGAGAATTCAGATTGCTGTAAGGCAAAGCTACTCCAAGTCTGTCCGTGCTCCAGAGATCTAACACTTGATGAGTTATTTCTAATTTTGAAAATGGATAGATAGTACGTCCATCTAGCTCAAGTAAGATTGCCTAAAGAAATGGATAAAAAGAAGAGAAACCTAGATTTAGCAGGGAGATTAACATGTCTGAAATTAACTGTTCCTGCTTGTTAATTTGACTACACAAAAAGCAACACATTTCATATATCCAGAGACCAAAAGAGCAGGAATAAAATATATCCCCCAAAATATTATTTTCTCTTAATACAAAGAAATCCCTTCTATTGAATATTAGTTCATCTTACTCTTTTCCATTTTTTAAAATATTAATACACAATCTGCAGTATAATATACAAACAGGAAAACAACTAAAAAGAAAAAAAAAGTTTTTGCTTTGCATCCTAATCAGTCAGTGCCTTCCAGTCAACTCTTTGAGTGAAAAAGCAATCCATGAACTCCCAGTTCAAAAGAATACAGTAGTTCACACATTGCAAAATTCCTGCAGTTCGCTATGGAAGGCAAGTGCAGTCTCAAAGATTTGATAGAAGGAGTGATCCTGCTGTTCAGAGACATGTATGTTTACCTGGATCTGGTGCTCACCATGGAAACCCAGGTAGCATCAGTGGTCCACACCGCCTATTTCCATCTTTGGCGGGTTGCCCAGCTGCAATCTTTATGTCCCTATCTTGATGTTGGTCCATGCACTTGTAGTCTCAAGATTAGACTACTATAATGCGCTCTATGTGGGGCTACCTTTGAGATGATGCGGAAGCTTCAAATGGTTCAGAACACAGCGGCCAGACTTCTCACTGGAGTGAGAAAACATCAGCATATCTCCCCCACTCTGGCTACCGTGCATTGGCTGCCCGTTCATTTCCACATTGATTTCAAAGTATTAATGATGACATATAAAGCCCT